GCTGCTGCTGCTGCTGCTGCTGCTGCTGCTGCTGCTGCTGCTGCTGCTGCTGCTGCTGCTGCTGCTGCTGCTGCTGCTGCTGCTACTACTACTCCTACCGCTGCTGCTGCTACTGCTACTACTACTACTGCTGCAGATGCGGTGCCCGAAGGGCGGTGGCAGCAGGCGGCCACGGCTGTGACTGATAAGCTGCGCTCGTTCCCCCTGGAGCTGCTGCTGCTGCTATTGCCGTTGCTGCTGCTGCTGCTGCTGCTGCTGCTGCTGCAGGTGCTGGGCCAACTCGCAGCAAGACACAGAAATGCGTTTGGACTTGGTGCGCCGGGCCTTAGAGGCGAAAGTTAAAAAGCTGCAGGGGGAGATAAGGGCCCTGAGGGCAATTGAAGAAGACCCGCGAGCTTCTGCTGCTGCTGCTGCTGCTGCTGCTGCAGCAGCGAGCGCGGGGCCCCCGCCCCACCCTGCTGCTCCTTTAGGGATAAACCAGGAGGAACCTGAAGACATCTATGCAGGGCCCCCCACCACTTTTGGCTAGCCAGCTAGCTGGCTCTCGGCTAGCTAGCTAGCTAGCTGGGTCTCCGCTAGCTAGCTAGCTAACTAGGCGCCTAGCTAGCTAGTTACTTCTGCTGTTAGCTAGCTAGTTACTTCTGCTGTGCATGTGCAGAGTCTGTGCACCACTGGGCGAACGTGGCTAGCGGGCTAGCCATTTAGCTGGCTAGCTAGCTAGCTGGCTAGCTAGCTAGCTGGATAGCTAGCTAGCTGGATAGCTAGCTAGCTGGCTAGCTAGCTAGCTGGATAGCTAGCTAGCTGGCCAGCTAGCTAGCTGGCCAGCTAGCTGAGTAACAGGCGCCGCTAGCCAACGCTCGCCACCAATGTTACTAAATTAGCAATTCCGTGGGTACTGTGCTGCCTAACTGCCTTTTCTGTCTTCTAGCTAGCTAGCTATCCAGCTAGCTGCCTAGCCTTCTAGCTAGCTAGCCGGTTAGTTAGCTAGTTTGCCGATGGGGGAGCGGCGTGCTAGCTAGCTAGCAAGTTAGCTAGCTAGCTAGCTGTCAAGTCGGTTAGCCAGCCAGTCAGCTGGCTAGCTAGCCAGCTAGCTAGCTAGCCAGCTAGCTAGCTAGCTGTCGACAAGATCGACATGGGGATTGCTTTTGTCTCAATCGCTGTCTAGTTCTGTGTGACATCTTTTCCGGCAGCGCGGCTCTGCTGCTGCTAGCTAGAGGGGTTTCTTTTAGCTAGCTGCCCGCGCCGCCAGCTAGCCATGGCTAGCTGCAGCTAGCTGCAGCTAGCTTTGCATGGCTAGCTGCAGCTAGCTGCAACCAGCTGCAGCTAGCTGCAGCTAGTTGCATGGCTAGCTGCAGCTAGTTGCATGGCTAGCTGCAGCTAGTTGCGTGGCTAGCTGCAGCTAGTTGCGTGGCTAGCTGCAGCTAGCTGCAGCTAGCTACAGCTAGGAGGGGTCATCCCCGAGTGACTCTTAGCTGCCGGCTGTGGCTGCCGCTAGCTAGCTGGCTAGCTAGCTGGCTAGCTGCTGCTTTAAATCTGGCTTTATTGAGCCAAACTGCAGCAAACATTTCTCAAATGCGGGGACCCCAGGGGGGCCCCTAAGGGGCCCCCAAGGGGGCCCCCAGGGGGGCCCCTAAGGGGGCCCCCAGGGGCCCCCACGAGGGGCCCCTAAAAGGGCCCTTCTGTTTACTCACAAAATGCGGTGTAGGCCATTGGCTTGCAGAAGGGCCAGGCGTGCTTGTGGCGCTGCTGCTGCTGCTGCTGCTGCAGCTGCTGCTGTTTCTGCTGCTGCTGCTGCAGCGGCTGTTGCTGCTGCTGCTGCTGCTGCGGCTTCTGGTTGCTGCTGCTGCTGCTGCTAAGGAGGGCCTCTACTTCATCGAGGGAGTCACGCTGCTGAGTGGGCGAGCCAGGCAAAGCAGCAGCAGCCAAGACTGATGCTGCTGCTGCTGTTGCTGCGGCTGTTGCTGCTGCTGCTGTTGCTGCGGCTGTTGCTGCTGCTGCGGCTGTCGCTGCTGCTGCTGCTGCTGCTGAGCTAGCGCTTGCCGTGTCCAGCAGCAGAGTCTCCTGTGTCTCCAGAGAGGCCCTCAGAATGGAGGACTTGTTCAGGAGTTGCTGTTGCTGCTGCTGTTGCTGCTGTTGCTGTTGCTGCTGCTGCCCACGGCTGCATCTGCAGCTGCTGCAGCGCTCTCAGCAGCGCGGGAGTGGCAGAGCTGGGTGCGTGCAGCTGCTGCAGCAGCAGTTGCTGCTGCTGCTGCTGCTGCTGCTGCTGCTGGTCTTCTTTCTGCGGCTCCCTCAGCTCACAGGAACGGGGCTTCCTGCTGCCGCTGCTGCTGCTGTTGCTGCTGCTGCTGCTGCTGCTCTCGGCAAACGCTCCAAGCTGGGGGGGCCCCTTTGCAGATTCAAATGCTTCTGGGGGGCCCCCCTCAGCAGCAAAAGGGTTTGCTGCAGGGGCCCCCTGCTGCTGCCGCCGCAGGCCGTGGCTTGCGCCTATGGGGCCTGGGGAGTGTGCTGCAGGGCGAAATGAGGAGTACGGGTTTGCTGCTGCTGCTGCTGCTGCTGCTGCTGCAGATGGCTTTGCTGCTGCTGCTGCTGCTGCTTCTTGCCGCGGCCCTTTGGCAGCAAAGTTGCTGTCTCGAGGGGTCTCAGAGTCTGAGAGCCCCAGGAAAGGGAATATTAAGTTGTGCTGCTCAGCGTCTTCATCCTCTTGCTGCTGCTGCTGCTGCTGCTGCTGCTGCTGCTGCTGCTGCTGCTGCAAGTGTTGCTCAATGAAGAGGCCTGCGTTTTCAGCGTTGACTCCCTCCTGCTGCAGCAGCTGCAGCAGCTGTTCCTGCTGTTGCTGCTGCTGTTGCTGCAGGAAGAAGTCCTCCGGTTGCAGCAGAAGGTTGTCGAAGCCAAGCAGCTGCTGCTGCTGCAGTTGTTGCTGCTGCTGCTGCAGGAGTTGCTGCTGGAGCGTCCCCTGGAGCAGGAGGGTGTCTCCGAAGCCCCACGGCAGTCCCGCTGCTGCTGCAGCATTGGCTGCGTTTGCTGCTGCTGCTGCTGCTGCTGCGTTGCTGCTCACATCCTGCGGCAGCAGCTGTGCTGCTGCACCATAATCCTCAGGGGCCTCTGTGGGGCCCCCGCTGCCGAAGGCGAACTGCAGGAGGTTGTCAGTGTCTCCATAGGGGACCAGCAGCAGCTGCTGCGGGTCTGCTGCTGCTGCTGCAGCAGCAGCAGCAGCACTGTAGTCCGTGTCTTCGTCAGCTGCGTGTATGTCGCGGAGCTGCTGCAGCTGTGCGTGCTGCTGCTGCTGCTGCGCCGCGAGCTGCGGGCGTCGGCGGAGCGCGTGCTGCTGCTGGGCGCCGTGGGGCAGCTGCAGCAGCTGCTGCTGCTGCTGCTGCTGCTGCTGCTGCTGCTGCAGCATCAGCTGCTTCGCCTTCGGGGGCCCCTCCAGCCCCCGCCGCCCCACACTCGTTTGCCTACTCACTCGAATGGCCAGCTGCCGCACTCTGCTGCTGTCGCTCCAGAAGTCATGAATGCTTTCGCTGTAGCACTGCAGCACGCAGTTGTCCATGCCCTGCGCGCAGCCCCGAGGGTTTAGGGTTTAGGGTTTAGGGTTTAGGGTTTGCGCCTGGGCGGCAGCGGCAGCGGCAGGGTTGGCGGTGCGGGGTTCGTGGAGCAGTGAGGGTTTAGGGTTTGGGGTTTGGGGAGTGGGGTTTGGGGTTGGGGGCCTGGGAGTAGGGTTTAGGGTTTAGGGTTTAGGGTTTAGGGTTTAGGGTTTAGGGTTTGCAGGCGCACGTCCGCTCGGATCATTTTGGTTCTCCTCGAGATGGATGTGTTTTTAGAAAAGCGAGTTTCGATGAAGCCCCTGAGGCAGTCCAGTGCAGGCGACAGCAGCCAAATTAGGGTTTAGGGTTTAGGGTTTAGGGTTTAGGGTTTAGGGTTTAGGGTTTAGGGTTTAGGGTTTACAGGTTGATGGTCTTGACGTCTATTTCCAAAGCCGGCACGTGGCGCGAAACCTCTTCTGGGCTGTTCCAGTTCACATCATTTCCAGGAGCAGTTCCGTAGCTGCCAGCAGCTACGCAGCGAGGCACCTGGCAGCAGCAGCAGCAGCAGCAGCAGCAGCAGCAACAGCAACAAGAGCAGCAGCAGAAGCAGCAGAAGCAGCAGCAGCAGCACTTGGTGTGGGAGGGTTCAATAACAGTAGGGACTGAAGAGGGAGAAGTGCCGCATGGAAAACGTCCCGCAGTATTTGTTGCAGCAGCAGCAACAGCAGCAACAGCAGCAACAGCAGCAACAGCAGCAACAGCAGCAACAGTAACCAGCCGGAGAACAGCTGCAGAGGGAGAAGCCAGCGATGCAGCAGGAACAGAAAGGCTGCGCAGGAAGACACCAGTGGCAGCAGCAGCAACGCCAGCTGCAGCAGCAGCAACGCCAGCTGCAGCAGCAAAACCAGCAGCAGCAGCTAAAAGCGGCAACAGCAGCAAATTGCAGCAGCAGCAGCAGCAGCTTTTGCTCACCCAGATAAGGGCATTCTGCTTCGTCTTATTTCTAAGGACGCTTAATATTTGCACCTGTGGCCGTCAGCGAGCAGCAAGACACAAGCAGCAGCAGCAGCAGCAGCAGCAGCAGCAGCAACAGCAGCAGCAGCAGAAGCGTAAAAGAACCAACAGAAGCGAAAAAGCACCAACAGCAGCAGCAGAGGCGGCAGCATTGCCATCATCATCATAATCAGCAGCACTGGCAGCACCAGCAGCAGCGCCAGCAGCAGCAGCAGCAGCAGCAGCGACAACACCAGCAGCAGCAGCACCAGCAGCAGCAGCACCAGCAGCATCAACACCAGCACCAGCAGCATCACCACGGACGGCGCCAGCAGCAGCAACAAAAACACCAGCACCAGCAGTGGCAGCACTAGCAGCAGCAGCAGCAGCAGCAGCAGCAGCAGCAGCAGCAGCAGCAGCAGGCCGGACCTGCATTTGGACGCAGCCAAGAACATAAATGAGAACACTTTCTGGGCGAGGCAGCACCCGCTCGTGTTCATCGAGGTAGCAGCAAATGGAGTGTCTGTACTCTGCTGCTCTGTCAGTTGTCACTTTTAGTCTGCTGCTGCTGCTGCTGCTGCTGCTGCTGCCACCGGGGCCCCCAGCAGACCGCGACTTCGTCAGGGGGCCCCCCCCGTAGGTGGTGTTGTTTGGCAGGATCCACACGTGATTCAAAGCGCACATGCGCTGCAGCAGCAACAGCAGCAGCAGCAGCAGCAGCAGCAGCAGCAACAGCAACAGCAGCAGCAGTGACAGCGGAAACAAGAGTAATGAGTGCAGGACAGACACGAGCACCCCTACACAGCAGCAGCAGCAGCAGCAGCAGCAGCACCAAGCACGGACGCATCAGCAGGAGCTAGAACAGCAGCAGCAGCAGCAGGAGCAGCAGCAGCCGGAGAAGCAGCACGCTGCCCGCGACTACTCCCCCAAGCAGCGCTGCAGAACACCACTACCGCTCCCGCTGCTGCTGCTGCTGCTGCTGCTGCTGCTGCTGCTGCTGGCTCTACGCCCACTACCCCCCCTCCCCCACCCCTCCGGG